AATCCACCCAAGACTAAAAACCACCTGAAATAAAAATAATAGAAATACAGAAGGGGAAGATGAGGCTTTCTAAGGGACTAACATAACTCACAGAAAAAGGAGATTAATAATCATTATCATGCAATAAAATTATTGCAGTATTCTGTATCTCAGGGCCACTTTATACCAGTCTACTGCTCTCACTATCGCATGATAATTACAAGAATTAGTAGTATGAAAGAGATGACTGTGCAGCTTTTCGACTATTCCCTTTCAATTAATACATATATTAATTTATATATATTTATATATATATATAAAAATCAATTAAGACCTGTAATTCAATCCTCAGTTTCTCTATATACACCTATAATTCTGACCTACCTTCGGTTGCCTACTGTCTGCCTAAGCTAAGACAGTTTCCCTCTGTAGATGGCAGACACTGAAACATTTCAGGGGTGGTCTATAAATTTACCATGGCCACCCTATCTCACAGTGAGGCTAGTTAAGTTCTGGAAATAGTTCACACTTTTTACATATAAAGAGAGAGCAGACCACTATCTTAGATTGGATGTCACAGTATCAGACAGCAAAAGATAGATGAGCTGAATCCCACCCAGGCTTTTTTTCTCAAACTGTGTACTAACATCAGTGTTTCTATCTAAAAGAGGAAAACAGAAAACAATTATCTATTTTGCTATGGTTCACACATGTGATTACATAAGGGATCCTCTCCTATCTATCTGGATTATATCAGACTACTCCAATACCTGACAGATCAGCAGGCTACCCACACACTGTAGAAATGGGGAAATCATCTATCCCTAAAAAGGCTTCAGCTGAGCTAATCTTCCAACCTATTAAAATGCATGCTGTGTGAAACAAATTTAAAAGATAAAGCAAAAAGCAAACCCTGCATTTTACAGATTGAAATGTGATTGTATCCTCAAAGCACTGTCTCAGGTCCAGATAAGCTCAAGTAGCAATAAACAAAGAGTATTTTCTAAGGAAAGAACTCGTACCATTTCAGTAGATGATATAGATCACACACCTTTTAATATACCCACAAATTGGATCTTATTCCCAACAGAGGTGGAGAAACTAAGGCATAACAAAACTCATATACAATCAAATGTAAATCACCTACAGTTGGCTTTATATCTTATAGGGTTACCCCATGACTCTCAGTTTCCCCAAGCTGTGGGCAGTGAAATGGGTATCTGGAGACAGTCAGCACAAGGACATCAAATTGCATGTCCACATGCATTTGTGACAGCACAGCACTGGCACGAGCTTTGGGGTTTCACAGCTACAGAGAGTACTGAGACGGAAACACAAGTGCCCATCAGTGCTGTGACTAGCCAGGAAGAAGATGTTTGCACTGGAAGATGTAAGGATGAGAAGTGAATCCACAACGGAAAAAAACCCAATCAAAAAGTAAGAAACAAAAACCAAACCAAACAACAACAACAACAACAACAAAAAAGACTTGGAAGGTACTGAGAATATTCCACGTGGCAGTTAGTGAAGAATGATTAACCATTACTAAGCAAAGAAATGTGCTTATGCATCAGGCAATAAGTTTGCAGGGAAGAAACTACCTGTTTAGAAAATATTAAACTCTTATATGCTAGTGAAACCCAGAAAACATGGGTTTTAGCACTATTTCAGAGAAGAGGAGAAGAAAAGCAAGACCAGATGAGACTTCGGGGTGAAATTTGTCTGCCACACAATAGCTATTTAATGGGGCAGGACCACACCCATTTAAGTGGCAGACTTGCACCTGGATCAGGCTGATTGCCAAACAGTTCTGTGACAGTTTAGGAGCTTCCAGTATCATAAGGGATTGTGAGTGAAAAGAATACCTGAGGTTTGCAGAAAACTAGCTGCCTCTGGTAAGATTAAGGCCACACCTAGAGCCAGCTATTTCTTTACATGTATCTTCAGATACACACTTTTGCTTCCTCCACACATCTTGAATTTCAACTACTCATTTTCAGTCATGACAGACACAATCTGGTCCTGCATATCTGACATGGTCTTGCAAACATTGTCCCAGCTGTGTCTTCTATCAACTTACTGTTCTGTTCTGACACTGTCTAATTCCCCTCTGTTGCATCAAATGCAAACTATTCATCTTTGCTTTTCATGGCACATTTCAGACTTATCTACCTGTCGTGACTCTGACATTTGCCTTCTCAAAAATGTCAAACTCTTCTGGTCACAGCCTTATATTTTTCAAACATGCACATTTTTTTATTGCTTTCTCCCATGTCACTCCATGTTTGCAAGCATTCAATTTCTTCCTCTTTTTAATCTCTGCCTTATGACTATTTGGCTACAAGAAAGCCTAGAAATAATTATGTACCTAGTAGACTGAAACTGCCACCTATGATGTTGATGAAGCCTTTCTGGCACTCTATCACCTGTGCCAGCATGTTTTTTCCCCTCAGAAACCTAACTGCAAACTCTTTAGAAAAGGGATAGTATGTATTGTTAGCTGTTCCTCACAGCAGGATCCAGGGTGGTCCAGGAATATTTGGAAGAAAAAAGTAAGATTGCTTACGTATCAACCATAAAATGCATTTCAACACTTCACATATGATAACAGTAAGTTAGGGACACTGTCTCTTCAGATCTCAGTTCTTAAAATGGAAAGGTCTCCCAGTCTGAGGTAGTAAAACATAAATCAATTAATTCTAGGTTGCAGATGCATGTCATGCAGTTCTTCCTGGAAGCATGGCAAAGAATGGGTCTTTTTACAGTTTTCAGCCACCTGTTAACACACCAAAAGGAGGCAAAACTCATGGTCACGCAACTCACACAAAAAAAAAAGAAATTCAGACAATAATGAAACAATTCACCCTGTTTCACTTGCAGTAGATTGCCAGGTAAATCTTTCCCTTGTTGCTGCATGGACTTGGGTCTGAAGGGCAGCTTAATGAAAGAAATAGCCTCTCAAAAGTGGTATAAGTTCAATTTCAGGCTTGTCAGCCTCAGTGTTCAAGTAAAAATGAAAATCTCTTGAGATTATGTTTCAAACCTTACAAAATTAGATCTTTTACTTTGATAGAACTACACTGAATTACATGATTGGAGACTTTGCTATACATTGAGGATATGAGTTATGCTGTGATCAAATCTGTGGTTTTAATTCACCTACCAAAATGTACTCCTGTATGTCAACCACTATCACCTGAAAGAGGTAATATCTCTTGTTCTGCAAATTTCTTATCAACAGTCTGCATTTGCCCACCGGCTTTGAATTTGTTTCATTGCATTTCAAGCACATGAATGCATTTCTCCAGACTAATGCTGCTGTTTATCAGCCTTGCTTGGCTTACAGGGCAGCTGGCTCCACAATCTATCTGGAATCAAATTAGCTGTTGATAAGATAGTTGTAAATAAGCTGAGCAGGTGAATAGCTGTACATCACATCTGTGCATATCTTGATCTACTGAAAAGTCTGAACACAAGACCTTCCTGAGAAACTTTTCAGAGTAGTTTCTACAGCAGTGAGCCTTGAATAACTGCAGCTACCTATGTGCCTTTGAGAGTGCAAACATGAGCTGACAGCAGTAGGAGGCTTCACTAGCTCCACAGAAATATGTATGTGGAAAACTGGTCATGAACCAGTTCTATGAGGTAACGAAATAGTCTCCTTCGGATAGAAGGCACACTGAGTTGGCACAGACATAGTGAGCCTCAAGCCCCGAGCTCATATGACAGCACAGATGTAGCCTAGAGTTGTGTCCCTAATCACCTGTGATGGTCAATAGTGACAGCTCTCTTCCTTCCCCAAGGAACCTTTCCCTTCTCACCAAGTGACTTGGTTCAAAGGTTTGAAGAAGGGTGCTGCCTTTTGGAACAAAAAAAGCAATGGACAAGAAGTAAGCCCTCTTTTTAAAGCTATAAACTCAGTGTTTTTCTTCCCATCCTTCATCTGGCTTGGCATGATTTCCACACCAAGCCCCTGGCTTCCTTTGTGTTTACAATGTAGAGTTCAGGTTGACAGATCCACGAACAGACCTCTGAACAGCCTCTCCTGTCAGCTGCAGATCCCACAAATTATTTCGCCATTAACTAGCAAACCATTTACAGTCTCCAAAATTACAATACAGTTGCCAATATTCTCAGCTTTAAACCACTAAGTACCTTTCCTTCTCTTCTGCCTTTTAGCTTAACAGGGGGAAAAAAATGCATATAACCAATCTCATCCCATCTGCGGTCCAAGTGTTCATCAAACACCCGGAGTGGTTATAGTTGTATTCCTGGAATTGTTATTCTTACTCACCGTTTTTTTCTCTTTATTTCCCATGTTAGAACTGGAAGTTTGTCCTCATTTTCTGTTTTGTCTCTTAGTCAGCTGTATAAAGAGGCTTTATTTTGGCTTTTCTTTTCTCTCCTCTCTATTTTTATTACAATTCACAGCATGTTGTGCCTCTACTGTTTGAAAGGGTTTTTTAACCTTTAAAACACCTTAATATTCCTTTTGCTGTGGATTTCAGGAGCTGAATGTTTCATGTACTGTCAGTTTCAGATACTATTAATAGCAGCAGTCAAAAAAAAAAATCATAAACAGTTGAAAATTGGGTTCTTGCAACACTAACTTTCATATAATCTAAAAACAAAGAAGATGAGGGAGGCAAAATTGACATAAAGCCCTAAACACAGACTAAAATCAGCCAGCTCAGCCCAGCTAAATTCAAGTAAATGTTGAATGACCAATGTGTCTATGATACGGATGTAATACGCATGACTTTATGATTCTCCAAATCAATGTTCAGTGTGAGGAAAAAAGCCACAGAAAATTAGTTAACATAATCTGGTTTTGTTTTCTCCAAAATATTTGTCAAAACCATGCATATTTGCAAATGTATTCCTGTGTACTCTTGACCATTCAAACCAAGTCAGGACATGCTACATACATGATATGACCTCTCACAAAGCTCCTTCCTGGTTTATGTGCACCTTGACATACAAGCTGTAGTAGAAAACACTGTAGGTGTGGGTTTACTTACAGTTGTGACAGGTTGCTCCCGTGTAGCCCGTATCATTACAATCGCAGTAAAAGGTGGTCCAGGACTGAGAGCATTTACCTCCATGTTCACAGTAGTTGGGTAAACATCTAATTTGAGAGAGTTTTAAAAAATATAATTAATTATAAAGATTTCTGTAAAAACAATGTGCTGTAAAAAAATAATAAAACTGCCTCAAGTCCTCATTCAGGTAAGAGTTTCCTAGGGCTGATTCACTGTATAATACTTATTCCTCTGATCTGCAATTCGCCTCCAGTGGAAGCATCGAAGAAAACAACATTTAAACTATCCAGCAGGTAGATTAAGATCACTCTCAATAAAAATATTCCACCTGTTAGCAATTAAAGTGTCACAAACTTTCTGAGCACAGAACAAGAAAAGTAACAGGCAAAAATGCTATTGAAATCTTGTTTCAAAGGAGAATCCCCTGTTCTCTGATTAAACAGGAACCACTGTTATCAAAATTAGGCTGAGTTACATTTGTGGTAACACAAGCAGCATGCAAATCTCTGAAGTGAGAGGAAAAATACGCTTCAATTATGAGATCTGTACTCTCTCCTCTTTCCCTCATTTTAGTTGCTGTGCCTCTGAAGTATTATTGTTAAACAAATTAATAAAAGAAGAAAGCAGCACAACAGCATGCAGCTCAGGAAGTGAACAGAAACAAAAGCTGTGGGAGATAAATTCAATCTCCAGGACAAGAAGTGAATGCTGATCTGAACTCCCCTGGTATAAATGCACGCAGTGCAATGGAGTTACACCAACCTAAATGGAAACAGATTGTTCTCTTGTTTGCTGTTTCTTTCATTTTTTTTTCTTCTTACTGTATATTAATCTCTTTTACACAGTATGTCTGACTTTTGAAAAATAAGTAACTTGTTTATACTGCTGATTCAGTTGTGATGGGTGGGTGGAGAGGAAACAGGCAACCAATTTATCTCTTACACAACAGAATTCCATTAGGGTTTGCTTTGCTGTAATTTGAGATTCAAAACCCTTTTATGCCCAGAGCTTTCTGTGGTGTTAGTGCTGAAGTCACTGATGCTACCTAGATTTTTGCCAGCTGAAGACATTGTATTGCGGTTCATCTCATCCTTAGAATTTTTTTTGCATATAAGTATGCATTTTGCCTTTAACTGTGGCTTTCAGTCTATTTCATCTAGATTACTTACAATTAAAACCCATTTCATGCATGCAAGCAAAAAACCTGTATGTCCCTAGCAGTCATCCATCTTCACCAGCCTTCTGAGCCTCACCAGCCAAGTTTTCATCAACCTACCTGAGTACAAGGCTGTTTAGAGCTGTCAAGCATTAATAACCCAAAGAAACCTGTTTCTGTGCCCAGAGGCCTATCAGACTAACTTCTCATTCTCAATATGCTCCATGATAGTTCACACAAACATATGTATATTCATCTCAGTGTGAGTCTTGGATTCATTTTAGAACCCAGCTTCACTTGATCACTATTTATACCATCCTACATAAAATTATAGGGATCATGGAAAAATATTAAGATGAAAGATTAATTATTTTTATTAATGTTTACTCAATTATTGCCATTATTTATTATAATACTAGAGGAATAGGGAATGCAAGAAGAAAGTATACTATTTATAACTATCTGTAACATTTTTAAAACAATTATAAAATTTATTACTCTTGTAAAAATCATTGTCATGGCTTCTATTAATCATTGGGCTCAAATACAAAATGAGGAAAGAGTATGGCAATTACATGACTGGTTTTCCAGCTTTTCCAGGGAGCTTTTTCCAGTGCTGTGGAAGAACCTGTTCTTTCTAAAACAAGAAACAAAGGGGAGGGCCAAAACCACTGAGTTTCCCCCACTCTTACAAGTCAGCTATTCTGAGAAGGGATAAGATTCTGTCTTTTAATGGTATGCTGAGCAATCATCTAACAGCCAAACAGGCTGCTGGTGCAGTGACAGCCCAGCCAGCCTCTCTGCCATCACATCTACTCGTAGTAATAGCAAAGTGAGATTTAGAAGCTTTGGGTTGATGCTGAAGAAAGCACAAGCGGCCTTACAGGATGGCACAAAGAGGACCTGCACCCTGCTATGTTCTGGAGGACTGTGACAGCTCCCTGAAACCAGTAGCTCCCCAGCAGCTTCATTCCAGAGGCAAAGCACAGTGGTACACCACCATTGTGGTGATAGATATGAATTTTGCCTGTGAGAGAAGATTTACTCATATTTGTGCTTTGTTTAGTGCCTGCCCTTGCCTCAGCACACTGCCTTTACTTGCTATTTAGTGATAAACATTCATTTGTATCACCTGTACAACAGCAGTAGTTCTATTCACATCACAGGGATGCTGGTGACATGAAACATCTGATGTTAACAGAGCTCTTTGAAGAGGTAAAAAGAATAGTACTGTGTTATTATCACAATTTACATCATCAGTGTAATGGACAAATACGCTTTCTGCCTATTTTAAGCTGCCTTTTATTAATTAATCCAATGCAGTAGAGCTAATTACTAGTAATTTGCAGTTTCCAAAGGCCTGTATGTAAAGGCTTAGCCACATTTATTCCGTTAAAACAGTTTCCTTTAAAGAGTTTACAAAGTTGAAGGTCACTTCTCATTTCTACTTGTCTTGCAAATGCAGACACTTTTTCTTCCCCCAACAATGCACAAAATTCAAGTCAAACAACCATGTAATCTTTTAATGATATTCATAAATTCAGAATTAAACTTTTTTTATTCCTTAGTCTATTTGCCTTAATTAGCACCAACTGCATTGATCTTGTTTTCGGTCAGATAACCAACCCTTCTAAGAGCTTATGAAAAAAATTTCTTTGCAACTCTAATAATTACCATAATCCTATTCTAGCTGAGCAGTTGTGTCTTCATTAGAAGCAAAATTTATCCTAATTGTCAGAGAACTCATATTTAAGAAATAGCTATGATTAAAATTAATCAAGGCATGCCTAAGTCACAGGTTGTTCCATTTGCGAACTGTCACAGATCCTCATGTTGAATAATTTAAATATATGTAATTTAAAATTTAAATTAATATTTTCATTCTAGTGGAAACAAACAATTTTAAGAAAAAAAATAAAAATAAAAAATGCAGTGGTGTCACAGAATGTTTCACAGACAAAAATTTGCAGGAGACAGCCCCTGACCTATTTGCAATTGAAAAGAACAAACAGATCAACTCAATTTTTGTATCATAAATGAGATACTTGGAAGTTTAAGGATTTGCCTAAGACAATTTGTGACAGCCCAGAGACTTGATCTTCCAGATTAGTTCATAGAATATATTGAGATGAAAAATTCTTATTAAAAAAAATAAATGAAGCAAATAAAATTTTCCCTCCTTAAACCAAGCTGGAAAACACATCCCTCAGCCATCTAAGTGAGAGCAATATGCAGAGCCTGCACAAAAGCTTTTGCTGTCCTTAAAATGAAACATTCACCTCCAAAACTGTATGTGTGTTTCCTTTGAAATCACAGGACAAACTGCATAGACATTGCGGGGGGGGGGGGGGGTGGTGTGGAAATTTGGCCCTCTGATAGGAATGATGAAGAAATAACAATGACAAAATTACTTGAGTAGGAAGGCTGAAGGAGTTCTACACATTTGATATTACATTTGACTAGAATAAACCCAGTTGTGAAGGAGTAAGATTCAGGATGGGAACAGTACCAGCCGTGGAGAAAAGCATACAGCAATTGGCAGGACTTTATTATATGGACCTTACAGTTCTTATATGGACTTTACTGTTATTATGTGGTTTCATTGTATTCACACCACACAGTGCGCAGCCTGGACATGCCCAGGCTTGCCATAAATTTGCCTGCTGCCTGCTCCCTGCTTTCCCCGCTCCTCCCCCTTTTGCCAGTGTCCCTATCCTGGTTTGTCCCCTGCTTGTCTGTCTCATGCTCCGCCCTATGTTCTGGCCCTTTTCCCCTCCCGAGCTGACAAAAGACAGCGTGCACGCGTGAATAAAGGATTCTACTTGCACCCTCCCTCCTGTCCCATCCCCTCTTCGGGCCGCGGCACCCAGTGTAGTCAATAAACACCTCTGAGATTTTGTTATAGTCCGCACTACACATCCTGCTAGCACTATTCTCTATCCTTCCTAAATAAACAGGAAAGAAAGGGAACCATCACAGAGAGAACAAAAACAGGTGCACACCCCCTCAATATTAAGACTGTCAATATATATAATTTTGAGACAAGCACTAAATCCCTAAAACTCAACAATGGTGTAGCAAGAAAATACATGAAATTTTAGAAGATTTTCTATCAAGAAAGCATTTGCCTGAATATTATCTCAAATTAATTTTTATTTCAGCATGTTTCCTTATTTAAGGCCAGCAGCTACTTAATGTATCATTAACAAAATATAACATTAAAAGAGATGATTTCATATAGTAGGCATGCATGTATGATGAAACTCCTGGTGTTGCTGTAACAGACTGTATTTTCCTCTGGTAAAATGATGTCTTTCCCCTAAACTCAATAAATTGAGGCCAATTGCAATAACACGGGTTTTGGCCCTGTTGTGCTGAGCCGCAAATTTGGTAAATTCCTTGCCAAAGGTTATTTTTGGGTTCAAGGGGAGACCAGACAAACATTTCGAAGAGAAATCTACCAATGGTACTACATAGACAACATATAACAGCTTCAGAGGTTTACCAAGGAGAAAACTAATGAAGATTAGAGAGCATTAGAAAAAGCACTGCAGAAGAACATCCCATTCTTATTTCTCCCCAGATGACTTTTTGTGGTAAAATAGTGGGCTAAATCTCCTGAACTAAAAGGAGAAAAGAGAACTACCAGAACCAGAGGGAGGATGGGAGAAAGAGTGTATAAAAGCAATATTACAACAGGCTCTAAAAGAATTAACACTCTTCAGACCCTTGATTTTCCTCAGCAGACATTCCCTCCTCATCACCCCACCTTCCAACTTCTCTTTCCTATTGCAACTTTAAAAAGCCAATCAACAACGTATTAAAAAGTCTTTTGGCATACTTAATCTTTTATTTTTAAGTCATCTACGTTTTCTTTCCTAAACTTATTATGTTATGAGATCTCACAGAATACAAAGAGAACAAGAATAA